ACAGGAGAGGGAAAAGGGGTTGGGATACAATGGCTTCTTACAACAGATATCGATTGTTCCTCCAGGGTATACCGTCGTCGGGTGGCTTTCCACATTTGAAGATAGCCGTTTTGTAGTAATAATTAATAGGCTCTCGATGTTTGTTTTTATTTATTCCTGTTTCCATCCTGACATATTCCACCCGTTCGCTTTGTACGTCTGTGGCGTAGAGAGAAAAAGAGTTGAACGGTTACTGCCTTTCATTCCGGCTAAAAAATTTTGAGTAAGATTCCCGCACAGTCCCGTAGGAATGTAAAACGATGCCGTAGTTTCAAAGGCAATCTACAGTTTTCTTTATCCAAGAACTAATGATGTTTGAAGTATGAGGGAGTGTTTATCGAAATTAAACTTGAATCTAACGAAAGCTAGTTTCAACGAAAGGGAAATTGAAGTAATTCTGATGAAAGCAACGACAAAGTGACCTTAACGAGAAAGCAATCGAAGTTTAACCATAGTTTATGGTTTAACCTAAAAAAATCTTTACAAAGTAACATTCTGAGATCTCTGTCATATGTGCGAATAATTTTTGTCTCAAATATTCAAGAAGTATTTCCAATAGGTTGTAACAGAAAGCTGTTTATGAGTCTTTTTGTTCGGCCTTTTACAGATGTTCGTACAATTAGTAATGGAAAAATGTCTTGAATTCACGTTTATAGGTATCACACGAACAATTGAATATTATCGACGCCACCTTGACACGGGCCTTTGAAGTTTGAAGTCTCTCCCACGATTAAAGCATACAAAGTAACAAGGAACCCAAACTGAACTTCAAAACTCTAGACTCAGTTGAAATACCTTAAAAGTCCGAAGTTTCGTCTCGTTATGTTGAAAGGTATTTAGTACAACCCTCAATGCTGTATAATAGAGGCCTTTTGAAGCATCTTATAGTCAGGGTTTAGACGAATTAAAACCAAGGACAAGGAAGTCACTTTATTAAATGAAGAATATTTAACTCACCGAGAATTTTCTTTTCTAATTTATCTTGCAGAGATTCACCTAAAAAGCAAAAATAAAAACTCAGCTTGCCGTATTTCGTCGAGCTATCGAAGCCTCGTAATATACCAACAGCAAGCAGAAATTCCACAGGTATATTTTTAACTGAAAGGAACAACCTATTGTACCCCCCGGTACTTAGGGTGAATATGAGACCATGAAAACAGTACAGGGCTTTAAAGCTGCAAGTCTAAAGAACATACTATATCTAAGCGATCAAGAGAATATGTTATTTATCATTTGGAATGTCTGTGAGTGGAAAGGGAAGGGAGAGTAAGAGAAGGAAAAAACAGAGGCATTAAATCATCCAAGGGTGGAAGGAAACGTACCCCTCATCCTCTAAGGAGACTCTTGAAGTTTTCACCTTTATTACCTCCACTTTGAAATCACTGGTGGTCCTTGTAATCTGATTGGCTCTAATTGGTGCGGTTTATTCACGAATCGCACAATTTTTTGCTCTTAAATCGCATCATTTTACGCTTGACTGAGTTTTTGACACATGACGTTAAAGTCTTTTCTGTTTTGCAAACAAAATAAGATGTAAAAACGTTTCCTGTTCCGCTTTTTATTTAAAAACCGGCTCAGTACTGCATCAGTAAAATATTTTAATTGACCGAGTCCTGTATTTGAGCGGTTTCAAAATGGATGTAATAAAGTGGTAATTGAGCCTCGTGTCGTGCAATTTTGGTCTGAAATCGTACTTGTGATTTCAAATCGAACTCGCGCCGCGCGCTCGTTCGAGTTTGAAATCACGCGTATGATTTCAACCCAAATTGCACTCCACTCAGTTCAATTACCATTATTAATCAGAAACGCAGTTAGATCACAGTGAATATAAAGAAAAAGGCCTTCCTTGCAGTTTTGAAACACATGCACGTTCTTACGTAGAAAACACTTCATAAACAGTTTCATTTTAAGAAACAAAGTCCCTTTAATTGAAAAATAACAAAACACAAAAATTTTCATTTTTTGGAGGATACGTGCAGGGCCAAGTTTCACCAGTTAACTCACCAGCATCACAGCCGTAGATTTCAACTCTCATGCAAATATAGTTGTACCACGTAACCGGGACAAATCGAATGTATCGTGCGCGAATTCTCGGATTCAGATATTGCCGTTTTGTATCTCTGGAGTTCCTGTTAGCAATGAAATACTGAAAAGAAAAGAAAATTGTCACCAAGAACCTTAACATAAATTAAGCAATGGATCCAGGCAGTCTTAAACATTGTGCTATTGGTACAGACCTTTTTCATGCAACTTTTTCAAGAGACGGTTATATTTTGATGAGCCAGTGATTAGTCATTTGTTAAGACGCAGAGTGATGTGCACTCGCTTAGCTCGCTCGGGAAAACGAGCGTGGTTCTTGCACGGTGTCTGATTGGTTGACAGGATAGCAACATGTACAGCAGTATGCGCATGAGCATGCAGCATGCACCTGCAACGTGCACATGCAGCATGCACATGTGGTGCAGGCCCTTGTGAGAGGTGCGACTTTTCTGGGCCAATCACAAACCAAAATAAAGCAAAACCAATGTAATCCATGATCACTTCTGTATCAAAATTCTAAGAAAGAGAGTCGATATCTGTGGGCCTTTCTTACCCTCTCTCGTTCTTCCCAGGTGATCACATCCCATGAAAATCCATCTACGCTGTAGTGCACTAAATATCCTGTCACAAAACGACCTAGACCTCTGCTCGAATGGCCTTGGGTGGCGAAACCGTCGATAAACTTCTCTGACAACAAATCGACCTCTAATAATAGAAGTCAAAGCAAAAGTATGAGAAAAATTTAAGAAATAGGTAAAAAAAGTTATGATTAAATGTTCTGTTTTCTGATCAACTCTGTCAGTGATCTTTTCATCATTATTTTGTTAAGTTGTGAATAGTAATGACAAAAAGGAGGAAGCCTATTTTTAGAAGCAATTTCGTTTCTCTTGGCCTCTCTTGCTACCTGTACTTCAGATCTTTTACACCCTTTTTTTCTGTTTGTTTGTCTCTGCTGGACAAAGTAGAGTAATAAATAAATAAACGGATAAATCAGTAAATTTGATGAAAAAAAAAGACTGCCTTTAGTCCCATTGAGAACTGCCTTTGAATAGGTTGGAATGAAACAAATATTTTTAACTTGTAAGCAAATGCCACAAAAAGCAAGGATACACCAAAAAAGACCGATGACAGATGATAATGATCCAAGCAGATTGCAATTAGGATGCCTTTAGATTGAGTATCGTCAGAGAGCGAAACCAAAGTAACCACAACGGCCAAGCAGAAGAAAGGAAAACACCCCCATGAACCAATGAGAAATCAAAGTGAAAACGATCAAACAGCCTAAAGCGCGGGAAAACGTAGGCGACCAAACTTGTGAGTGGGTTGCACTACTTTCCTGGATCAATCACGAAGCGACGTGAAGCAAAATCAGTGCAATTTTGCATCTGTTTCGACACTCGATTGAAAATTTCTCCAACTAAGATTAATAACGTAAGGTTATTGATATTTCAAGATGCGAAATTCGTGACTCAGCCTACCTAAAAACTCTTTGGGTAGGAAGCTCTTGTGTTTCTTGTTAGATCTAGTATACTCGTAATTTTCCAGCTTCTCCACGCACCATCCACCGACGGTATTAAGGCGTCCATTGCTAGCTTTCGCATTTAGCTCCCCTTTTTTAACTGATGATACCTTTATTTGGTTATCACGGATTTTACGAGACCCCATTCCCAAAGGTGAAGAACAACCTAACAAGAAAGGGACCAACAACCAGCACATTTGGTCAAAAAACGATATCACCAAACAAATTAATATTTGCCGTTTTTATTTTTTGTTTAATTTTTTTTCGTTAAAGGAGCAAATTGATTAGGATTCTATGAGTTTATTAATGGAAACTTGCAAATTTTTGACATTTAAAAATGCAAACGAAACGTTTCAAAAATCTCTTTAATCAGGTTCGACATTATGGCAGACAGAAAGGAGAATGAGTGAATTTGAGGAAAATGTACCCGCATAATTTTAAACGTTGTTATATCCGAACACACCATTCATATTTCTGTAGCGTGTGGTAAAAGGAAAAGAAACTAAAATGAAGAACCTTGAAAGCGAAAAGTTTTCCATAATTTGCAGGTTTTCTTTGACTATACAAGAATTAAGTCAGTTCAAACAACTTTAGAAAGACTAGTAACCTTATTTTTACATCTATTCAATCTTTGTTCGAGACGGCCCCATATGCTAACACATATATTTAGTGAATATAGGCTGATAGTTTCTAAAGAAACTGTTTGGGGCTGCGTCGGTGGGGGTAACGAGACAATCTGAATATATCAACAAGGTTGAAACGGTAAACTGGCCACCGTTGCGATTATAAAAGCTGACGTTTCGAGCGTTAGCCCATCGTTAGCCCTTCGCTCCGACGAAGGGCTAACGCTCGAAACGTCAGCTTTTATAATCGTAACGGTGGCCAATTTACCATTCACCTTTGTTGATATATTCAAATTATTTAGTGAATATAACCTGGCTTTCGCTTCCTTAGATACGGCTTAGTCAATCCTGAAAAGTAAGAATATTAAGTTAGCGTGCTCTGTCTCCAACATGAAGAAAACCAGAGAATTTTTTATTCGCGTTGTCCTACCACCTCAGTTATAACCTTTTTTTCGTTTGAGCGACCGAGCTGCGAAGATGAAGGACCCATGAATATAGATATTTTTTGAAGGGATTTCTTGGAAAATTCAAAGTGTCATGCAAATACAATATGGCTGCTTTTGAGCATGTTCGACTAAATTTACGGGTAGGTTTGAAGCCCATTGAAGCTGAGTATATGAGGCTACACAGCAAAGCTGTCGTAACATGCTGTCTTACGGGGCATGTTTACCACCCTAGAAAACTTAGGATTTATACCGCACCATCTCGAGGTGTTTATTGGGACCCAAAACTAACTCTCACCTGATGGAAAATACAAATATTAGTTTGGAAAGATTTAAAAGGGACCAATGACTACTGACAATAGACTAAGATAAAATTTGGATCGTTATTGGTGGAGAGCATTTAAAAGGTTTCCTGAAGTAACCCCCTTAGGTATGGACCTCCGCAAAAGCTCTTGGCCCGCTTAGTGCTCGGTATATTCTTAACGAAAAATAGCCGCCATCTTTGATTTTAATTGCAGCGGAAAACTGGGGAGACAAAGAAATTTGTACGAAGGGGGTAAGTGACGATAAAAGATAAAGAGATCGGCCTACCGTCGAATCTAAATCTAAATTAAACATGGTCTGTTAAATAAACGGTCGCGCGCTTCTTAGCGTTAACTCTTCATGATAAGACACCTGCACTATAGGCTAAATGTACTTACTCTCTTTCAACTCCGCTAAAGAAAACGTTTACGCCAGA